AGAGTATGTGAATTTTCGCTTTTTCTTTAGCAAAGTGCCTTTTCGTGTATTTTCATGATATCTTTATATCATTTCCCCAATTTGCCATATGTCCACCCCCTGATTTGGTAGAGAACTCTGACCTAAAGTAGTAAGTAAGCCCAATTCCCTATACACTCCAGGGAAAGTAAATCATCTGAAACATTTATTGCATGAGCCCTTCCGCATTAGGCAGGTGCTGGATTTCACTAGGCTGGAACCATTAGAGGAGGGTTTCCTCCATGCAGGATCCAAAGCCATGGATCACTGGTACAGGTCAGACAAGGCTTTGAGTGGAGAAAATGTAAACACTTCACCTTGATGGTAATTTTCTTGGTGAGACAGTTCAGCAAATTAAAGATGAATTCATTTATAAAGGCAGGAAGGGGGAAAATAGGACATGTTGAGGAAGAGAAATGGTATGATGCCTTAGAAAAGTCAGGTGAAATTGAGCAGTTGAAATGGCCCACACACTTTCTAAAAAAAAAAAAATCCATCTTGTACCTCCCAGTGAGATTTATCTTAAAACAGTTTTTATCTTCTTCTTATTCAAAAATTTTCAGTGCATTTCATCACCAGACTCCTTTGTCTGACCTTGAAAGCCACCCACAGGCTAGACCCCAGCTATCTTTCAACCTCTTTGTTTCTTGTTGCCTGGGACCCCTCTCATACCATGCAAGTCAGGAGTTAAGAACCTTCCCATTTCCAAGTTGTTACTCTAACTAACCCCAACTGTCTTCCTTGCAAACTGTTTTTTTGGAAGGGACCTGCTATTCCCTTCCCTGAAATGCCAATAAAATTAGGGTCAGATTTATTTCAGCAGCTACGAGATAGCAATTTGATCCAATCCAATGAGCATTTATTACATACCTACTATGTACTAATGTAGCGGAAAGAGAGGTTCACTTTAAGGAGGTCACTTTGAGGAGACCTAGAGTAAGGAAACCCTGAGATGGAATTTGGGCTCTTGACAACTACCAGTTGTGTGATCAGGAGAAAGTCATTTGACCTACCTGAGCCTCAGTTTTCTCATCTATAAAGTGGTGATAATAATGCGGAAACTACCTATCTCACAAGGTTGTTTTGAAAGAAGGTGCTTTGATGGATCCAAGCCCTAATTCATTCATGGCAAGCATTTGCCAAGCAGCTGCTTATCCAGGGCACTGTACTCCCAACCTGGGAAGAGGCAAAGTTGAGCAATAGTTGGTCTCAACCATCAGGAAGCTTGTAATTTGTTCAGAAGGTGATAACCTTTAAGGAGGTAGCAGTGTGTGCCCAAAGCATTTGGGAGCACATCTCTCAGTAGTAGTGAATTACTTACCACTTAAGACAGTCAGGACATTCTTTTGAATTGTTTGTGATGATATGCACATATATTGAGAGTAGTGTAAGTGATCCCCTGGGAGACTTAGTGTTTGGTTTGATTGATTGAGTGGAAGCAGTCTGAGTGATTTGTCAACAATAGTGTATAAGCAAAGAGAGTGGTTAGTTACAAGTCAATAAGGAAGCAGAGAAAGTATTCCTTGTCTTGAGTGGGAGTTATGGGATCCCCAGAGAGTTCCAGATGCTCCCTCTGGTTAATCTCCATATAAGGAAGAGGATAATAGACATGGCTCTCTTCTCCATTATAATGGAAGGTCTTGAAAACTGGGAATACTTTGCTTTTATTTTGTATCCCTAGTACTTAACACGGTGCTGAGCTCAGAATAAGTGAGATATATACATATATACACATATATATATAGTTATGTATAGTTATATATATGTAGTGTATATATATATAAAATAAACATATAAAATTTTTAAAAATCATTGATTTTTTTGATTGCTTTAATTGTGAGTTGGGGGGGCGGGGGTGGGAGTGGGGGTTGAGATTAGGATGATGTGTGTTCACAACTAAGTGGGATTGATTCCCAGCCAGGTGTCTGGTCTGACTGCAGCATAGAGAAAAGGGGGAATAGTGGGTGATAAAGTTGGAAACATAAGTTGGAGATAGACTGTGAAGGAATTTGAATGCCAAAAGAGAACTTCAGATTTTATACCATAAGCCAGAAGGATTTTGAATAGGCAAGCGACAAAATCAGACCATGAATGAGATGGCATTGTATAATGCAATTCACATATTAAAAAAGACTGTGAAATCAGAATCCTTAGCTTTTCCACTGTGCTGTCAGAGAGATTTATAGGATAATTACGTATCTATTAGAAAACGGATTGCAAGCACCAAGTGTATGTGAGGTAAAAATCATGGGTAAAGTTGTTCAAACTCATAGATTAATAAGATCATGATTGAGTAACTCAATAAGATCAGCCTTGGTCAGACAGCAAAAAGTCAAGACACTAGAGATTAATCACCAAAATGGTACTAGACCCAAAGCCATGGTATAGTGGAAATAGCATCGAATTGGGAGTTAGAATCTGATTTTGAATGTAGTCTTGTTAACCTATGCAACACTAATCTAGTCACTGTCTTTCAGCCTGAGTTTCTTCATTTTTCAAATATTGTATGAGATTAGACATCTTTGAGATCATTTCCAGCTCATGAATAGGGTTAATTATCCTATAAAGATAAAGGGTATAATCAAGTATTCTTAACCTCGGGTAATGTTTTAAATATTTAAAAGATTTTCAAGCAATTTAAAATTTTGTTTTTAACATTTTGATAGTATATTTCAATATAATTGGTTTCTTATGTAATGCTGCATGTTTTATTTCATGCACTTATCATTATTCTGAAGAAAGTTTCCATTGGCTTCCTCAGACTGCCACAAAATTAATAAATTAATAACCTCCAGGGTAAACTAGCATGAGGGTTTGCACCAAGAGTATTATAATCTAGCCTCATGTCACAAGGCAATAAAAGAAGAAATGAGCTTAAATTATAGGGATGTTGGGAGGGAATCTTTATTTAAATACTAGGAAGATGTTGTGAATTATAGGGCTGATTAAAGACTAAAAAATGAAACTGTCTACATAGAAATAATGTGAGATTTCTACTCCTAGGGGTGGTTTAGGTAGATGGATGGATGGGTGGATGGATTGATAGGTGGATGAACAGATTGATAGATGGATAGCCTTTTTCAGAAAGATTGAGCTCTTCCCGTTTGACAGGAATTCAGTAAGTTTCTTCTACATTTATTCTTACAATAATAACACTTGTAACAATTTTATGAGGCTCAATAGTAGCTTATCTTTATCTACTAGGAGGCTTTCATTTAAACAGATGGAAGCGGGTCATTGTTTACCTACTTAAGATAACAAACAAATTCAAGCGTTTTCAAAGTTTCATTTAAATACAAAAAACAAAATTGTGCAGTAACCAAGCCGACATTAAAGTTTCAGTTCTGGAAGCTTTTGTTACTTACCATATTTATTTGAAAATAATAAATTCTGTATATCTTTTTAACCCGTTTGTAACTCAGACTGATGCAGTCTGACTTTTCTTCACTTCCAATTGGTCTTTGCAAAGAAATTTTTGGATTGTTTTTAAATATATCAAAACAGCTGTTATTTGGAATCAAGAAATGAACCATTCCAGATAAGAGAATTTCTTGGATTGCTGAAAACTACTGCAAACCTTTTTCATTTTAAATTTTAGCTGTTTTTAATGAAACATTTTCTTAGATAGTTTCCTGTCTCCTTATTGTACTATTTCATAGATGTAACCAGATGGGCATTGCTTAAGCTAATGACAGTCACTGCCATGCCATATTCAATTCTACTTGCAACTAATTCAACAAGCTTAGTCAATTATCTTTCTTCATCCCAAAGTCTTTGCTATTTACATCTAATCTTTCTTGCCATTTCTAATCTCTAAACTGCTGCTAACCACCATTCTGAATCCTCACTCCTTTCCCTGAATTTCACATTTTCTTGATTTGTTTTCCTTTTTGTCTTTTGGTTTTTTTCTGCCGTGCAGCTAGAGCATTGACAGTGTTCTTGCAGAGACCTGAGAAGAAGCATCCTAAGAGTAGTCTTTCCACATCACATCTTAATGGTTACATTCTTGGCAAGCCTAAGTTCAAGAGCTCCCAAGTATGAAAATTGGGCATCAACTTCATAGAGAGAAATTTCCTTAATAACAGAATTTCTCAAAGAATAAGAAATTGCCCATGTGACCCTTCCAGCTGGACAACTGGGCCCATCTTTCCTTCCCAGTCTCCCAACAGATCCCAAGCCTTTTCCCCATATCACCAGCTAATCAGGGCACTCCTTTGCTAATTGGAGAACCAACCAATCTGTGTATGAACTATCTACTGATCTGAGCTCTTCTTATCCCTATTCACCATTATGAGATTGTTAACCCCTAGAAGTATGTTTTTTAACTACTTTTTACTTCTTACTTCAGGGCCATACTGAATGTTTGAGATTGCTTAAAAACAACATACTTAGAAAGAAGCTTAAAGACAGCAGATGTTTTACTCAAAAAAAAAAAAAGCTTTTGTCCTACCATTAAAAATTACAAAGCACTAATGAGCTCTATTTCCAGATAATTATTAAAAAGGGCCGTCAGCGTGTCAAAACATCCTAATTGTGAGGAGGATGTATCTTGGGAGCACCTAACAGGACAGAAACAGAGTTCGGCAAAATTATTTCACTGATACTTATGCCATCCTTATTACAGCCGTCACTTTCCATTAGCGCATGCCAGCACATGACATTTCCAAAAGAGGATAGGACTCTGAGTAGGAAGACCTGAGTTCAAGTTCTCATTCAGCCACTCTACTCGCCATGTAATTTTGGGTAAATCACATTACCTTTCTGATCCTCAGTTTCCTGGTCTAGAAGTGGGGTTAATAACATACCACCTCCCTCACAGGGTGGTTGTGATTACATAACTTGTAAATCCACAAACACTACATAAATGTAAAGTTAACATTATTATTAGCATCTTGAAAAGTATAAGCAGCTGGGTGAATGCCAGTTTATACTCTGTGATTTTCATATTTTAATGCAATCTAATAATCTTTTTGTGTTTCTAGAGAAAAAATGACCCCTATTCACTCGCCTCCATTGTGTCCTTTGAAGTTAAGAAGATGCCATATAATGACCAGCCAACACAACTACCAGAAGGAAAAGTAGCAGTAAGTATCATCCTGCAATGTTGGCTTCCAACATTGAATGACTTCAATGGCGGTTTTGGTTATTCTTCTTCATGTGGTCATGATTATATGCAGGGGTCTCTTTGGATCAATCACTACTTTCTTATTTAAGTAGAGAAATAATTACTTTTTATCTGATTTTATGAAATGTCATGTAAACCTCTTCTAAAATTAATTTTCCTGGAATCCTTTCCTAATCCTGGTGTGGGAAAGACAGAACTAGTATCTCCTTATAGGCTGTCTGCATTTTATTAGCCCTTTGAGGCAGTTATTGACTGATTATTAAGTAGCTAGCATGTGAATGGATATTTGAAGTTGGGAAAACTTGAGTCCTGCCTTGGGCACTTTCTAGCTGTGTCCTTAAGCAAAAATCATTTAACCTGCTTCAGCCTCAGAATAGCAATGATAATAGCTCCTTTCTCACAGAATTGTTGTGAAGACCATATGAGATAACATCTATAATACATTTTGCAAAATATGAAGCATAATATAGCTATGATTATTTTCCTAGTACCCTGCACGTAGTAAATCCTTAATAAGCAGTTACTGGAGTTGAAGTCAGAGGGTCTGGATTCAAAATCTGGCACTGAGGGGCAGCTAGGTGCAAAGTGGATAGAGCACTAGCCCTGGAGTCAGGAGGACCTGAGTTCAAATGTGGACTTAGACGCTTGACATTTAGTAGCTGTTCCTTGCCCAAAAAAACAAACAAACAAGTCCTGGCACTGACACTCCCTGTGTAATCTTGGCCCAAGTCTTTTTCCCTTTTTGGCTATCTGGTTTCTCTTTGATAAAATGAGAAAACTGGACTGGATAATTCCTTAGGTCCCCTTCAGCTCTAAAAGCATGACCTTATGAAATAAGCTTTTCTGTATGTTAGGAAATGAGTTGGGTGTGTAGTATTGGTGATCAGATAACAATTGATAGTATTCCTGTAATAGTGGAATTATTCTAGGGCAACAATGATAGAACTGAAATAAACTACCAAGGGATGATCCAGAGAGCTGAATTCTGGTCCAATCAGTGCCATGGTTTGGATGCATTACTTAGGCTTGGGATTCTTCCTTTCTGCCCTCTACCCTCCCAAAGAGCTTTCTTCTTCTCTTAAGCAAGTATAATACTGCTAGGAGACGCCAGCTTTGGCATGGTGGAGGGGTCACCATTGCCAGGTCTTTTTTTCTCCACAGCTGTATGAGAATGATCAGAGCCAGGGAACAGGAAAACACGGTAAGGTCCAAAAGCTCATTCCGTGGTTATCCAACAAATAAATACTTGTGACCTTTGAGAGGAGCTCTTACTCTCGAGCTACTGCTGTTTTTGAAGGAAGAAGATCTTGAATAGATGTAGTATCTTACCAGTGGTGTGCTGGAGCTGGCTCTTACTGGCTCAGGAGAGCCAACTGTCACATTTTCAGTGTGTAATGTGAGCATTTACACCTCGGGAATCAGCAAATGCTACAAATCGTGGCTTGATTTTGTTGTTGTGATTGTCAAGACTTAAGAAAGAGATACAGAAAATGTTAATAATGCAGATTAAACATAACAATTTGTCCTGCATATATTCAGTTTTTTTCTAGAGAGCATGTTATTAAACATTAACAAGCACACCCTTTTTAGCCCAATTCTGGTCTAAGGCAAGGCAGAGTGGTTTGGTGGAAAGTTGAGTGGATTAAGCCTTAGAGGACCCATATTCAAATCCTGTCTCTGCCATTTACTTACCTGTGTGATTTCAAATAAATCAGTTTTCTGAAGTATGAAGTTTTCATACTTGGGAGCTCTTGAACTTGGGGTTGCCAATGATTAGAAAGACTACTCTTGGGATGCCTCTTCTCAGGCTTCTGCAAGAGCATTATCAATGGGCAGAATGGGCAGAAGAAAGCATTCTTCAGGAAGCCTAGTCTCTTGCTAGTGTCCATAAAGGAAACAAAAAAGGCAAAAGACAGTAGGAATTTGACAAGCCTTGGGCCACCTGAGAAAACACAGCAGGCTCGCCATGTGTTTCTTCTCTAAGTGGCAATTAATTGCTCCTCAGAGGGAAGAGAAGAGAAATTCTCCCCAATAATGAAGGTCCAGTCTGCTGAACAGAGTGAGGCAGGCAAGTAGCTTACTTTTATAGACCATGGGAAAGATAGCTTTCTGAAAAGATTTTATTCTCCCGACTCAAGTTGCCAGTGGGACATAACTACTGGGAATCCACCAAAGGTGTACCCCTTGTTTTCTCAGCAAGTTGCCAGTACCCATGTGTACCTCCATGGGTAGATGCCTCCATACAAATACCCCTGCCCTGTAAAGTCATGAAGTTCATTAGGAAACTCATAGAATTAATCACAGGTTCTCCAATCAACCTTACACCACCACACCACCCCTTACGTGAAAGATAAATCCAGAGACAAAGGAGAATGCATTTTTCTATGTGTTTTATAGATAAGTCAACTAAAGCTTTCTGGACATATCGTTTTAGATTTTTACAAGCTGATAAAAAAATTTTCATAGTGGTATTTTGGGGCAAACGCCCCAGCTCTTTCTTCATTTAGCTCACTTTTTTTTTTTGCTCACAAATGCCTAGTGTCTTTTGATTTATGATCAGACTAGAAAACAGAGGTGGTTTTGATTTTTAATATTGAGTATTCATTCAGAGGCTTTCAAAGCCTGCAAGTTCCGAAAGACAGAAATTGCAGCTCCTTTGTTTTCGATCAGCATGTGCCCGATAACGGAAACACATGTTGCAGCGATCACCGGCAATAATACTGCACCATCCGGTGGAATGGGCCACAAGTGATAGCCTGCTGTTCTCACAAGTCTCAGATGGGCTCCACAATGATCCGATCAGCATCCTTCTTCCAGTCACAACAGCCACAGAGGAAAAGAAGAGGAGCTTATTATTTGGTGCTAGTGATTTACTACCCAATATCTTCAAAGGTTATTGGGGAAACATTGAGGAAGAGTAGTGATTTCCGGTTCCCCAATATCTGGATGGTCCATGAAGCTGTTTCCGGGCTCAAACTGAATGTGGGACATGTGGGAATATCCTTTCGGGGTTATGAGTTGAAAGAATTCTGCTTTGAGCTAGCAAGAAAAAAAAAAATCTGTGCTGCCTCTGAAAGACATTGTCATTCCCATTTTCCAAACAGACCAGATTTCCAGAGTGAGAAATAATCATTCACTCTGAAGTATGATGTGCACTAGGGTTGATAGGTTGAAGACAAGAGCTCCAGTCCACACTCTGCCAAATGCCTTTTGGTGTGTACCCTTGGGCAAGACACTTGACCTCTTAGTCTCCTCCTTTGTAACAAGTAACACTAATATTTGCTTGTCTCCCAGCCCTCTGGCAAGGATTGATTGGTTAGTCTGCACTCCCTTTTCAACATGGTCATAATTTATGTATTTCCTGTGTGTTACATAGGCTTGGTAACCAAAGAAAATAACCCTTTGTTTGCAACCATCCACTCTCTGTTTTTAGACACTGAATTACTCATGCAGTCTAACATTTGTTATGGCGAGGGCTGAGAAAAGGGGATGCATCATGCAAAGGGATTAAGTCTGAAAACTGAATCATCACACCTGACAGTAGACATTATTCAGCACTCCCTTTAGTGCCCTGATCTCTGTGCTTCTGTGATTTCATCACCTGTCACCAAAGTAGAATTCATCAGATGGCTTTAGGGAGAAAGGTCTGTGTCTTGGGTAGAGTTCAAAAGCAGTTACTTATACAAAAGAAATTCTTCTCTTCAAAAACTATAAAATTAGAATATGGTCCCCATTGTGGATCTAAAATTCTAAGCTAACCATTTTTCCCACAAATAGAGTTGGGACAGAGAGCAAACAAACACATGGGCTAGTGTCAGAAGACCGAGGTGCAGATATCACCTCTGATCCTTACTTATCTCTGACATTGCACAATTCACATAGCCATGCTCATCTGGAAAGTGAGGCACTTGACTTTGATTCTCCATGAGGTCATTTTGAACCTCAATATCTATGTTCCTCTGTGTGTGTGTGTGTACACATATGTATATATGAATATATGTGTATATGCATATATTGTGTGTGCTCATACATATAAATACATGGGACACATGAGTCCATTACATTTGGAGATACCCTAGAAAAGTGAAAAAAGAAAAAAAAACATTCATCTAACAATGCTCTTCATATTCATGATACCTTATTTTTTGTTTTGTTTTACTTTCCTAATAACAAAAGGGGAGATTTAGGCCCATTAGGCTGTATTTGTATGTATGTATATGCATTGATACATTATACACATGTATACATGTATAATTTATATAAGTTTTTATATTATGTCTATATATATATACATAAATATTTATATATACATATGTACCTATATATATGTATATAAAGATAGCTATAACTCCCTGACTCCTACTCTCACTCCTCACCACCAGAAAAAGCAGGAGAAAAATAAAGATGAAATATGGTATATTGGATAGAACATTGTATAGAGGAAGACCCAAGTTCCTATTCCCCTCACAAACATTTGCCAGATTTGTGACCATAGCCAAATCACATATCATCTCTGAACCTCAATTTCTTCATCTCTAAAATGGGAACAGTAATATCTATGGTACTCACTCTATAGAATTGTTAGACTCAAAAGTTTTTGAGTTGTGAGATATGTATATATATATATATGCGCACACACATACATATATGTATATATTTAAAATCAAGTATGAAATATATGTATATTTGTATATATGCACATTCACATATATATATATACGTACAAATATGTATACCCATATAATACTTTGAAAACATTAGAGCTTTATCTAAATCAATGTCCATTGTAGTTAGTATGTGTGATCATTATCGTCTTCAGGGGTGGTGGTAGAAGGCCAGGGATTCCCACTAAAAGGGCTTTATAATCTTCAGTTTTCACCTAGACAAAATCTCCTAATCAGTTGAGCATCTAAGGCTCCACGTGTCCATAATAGCATGTATTTTTCCCCTTGACCTCAT